GATGTCTGTGTTCTAATTTAGTGACAGACATTTTTTGTTGTTGTTGATTGTGGGCCTGAACTTTGGGTCTGGGCACTGTCCCTCAGCTCTTCAACTCAAGGCTAGTGCTGTACCATTTGAGCCACAGTGCCACTTCTGGCTTTTTCTGCTTATGTGGTGCTGAGGAATCGAATCCAAGGCAAGGATTCTACCACTGAGCCCCCAGACAATTGTTCTTTATCTGAGTCTGTGGCCTAATGCTTAGCAACAGTGGTTCTTATGACCTGACTTAATGGAATTGTAACTATTTGGTACAACTACTTGATAATAATAAAGTTGCAGTGGGGAAACTCTTCTGAGTCTTACATATATGTTGGTAGAGGCACTATTCTAATGTTTTTCATTTTGCTACAATTTTCAGGATGGTAGGAGGCATACTTGGGACACATGCTGCTTTGTGCGGTTTGAGAGTGTGTGGGTTTTTTTGTGTATAATGACCCTTCATTACATTTAGGAAAAAGTATATTAAGATTCTTGTTTCCAATTCTTGGAGTTCATGTTGATACACTTCATTATATATGGTCTTAGGCACTTAGCAATTGGGCTATTGAGATCTCCTGTTAAGAATATCACAGGCATATTCAAGTTATTACAAATGAGGGAAACCATGCAACCTACTTTTCTTTGGGCCTGGCTTACCTCACTTATTATAATTTTTTCTAGGTCTTTCCATTTCCTTATAAATGGGGCAATGTCGTTCTTTCTGATGGAAGCATAGAACTCCATTGTGTATATATACCACATCTTCTTGATCCATTCTTCTACTGAGGGGCATCTAGGTTGGTTCCATATCTTAGCTATGGTAAATAATGCTTCATTGAACATGGTTGTGCTGGTAGCATTAGTATGGCCTTGTTTGTGGTCATTTAGGTAAATGCCCAGGAGTGGGATTGCTGGGTCATGGGGGAGCTCTATGTTTAGTCTTTTGAGGAACCTCCTTACTGCTTTCCAGAGTGGCCGAACAAGTTTGCACTCTCACCATTAGTGTGGTAGTGTTCCCTTATGGCAACATCCCCACCAGCATCTGTTGTTCATTGGATTTCTCACTAATGGCCATTCCTACTGGGGTAAGATAGAATCTCAATATTGTTTTGATTTGCTTTCTTTTATGGCCAGAGATGTTGGGCATTACTTCATGTATCTATTGGCCATTCTTATTTCCTCTTCAGAGAAGTCTGTCTTTAAGTCTTTAGCCCACTTGATAATGGGGTGGTTTTTTGAGGATTATTTTTTGGGGGGGATTTAATTTTTGAGCTCTGAGTATAGGTTCTCATTATGTTCTGTAGGCAGTTTTATTTCTGTCATAGTTTTCTGTATCCTTTGTCTTGTATATAAATTTATCTGATTGATGGAAGGGAAAGGGAATAACAGAAACAGCAGGGCAAAAGGGTGAACTAATCAACAATGATACACTGTGTTGGAAATGAACTATACAATGGGGGAGAGGGGAGGGGAGTAGCAAGGGGAAAGCAGGAGAAAATGAGGAAGGGGGTAACAGTGTTTAAAAAGTACTCAGCCGGGTGCTGGTGGCTCACGCCTATAATCCTAGCTACTCAGGAGGCTGAGATCTGAGGATCGAAGTTCAAAGCCAGCCCGGGCAGGAAACTCCATGAGACTCTTATCTCCAATAAAACCACCAGAAAACCAGAAGTGGCGCTGTGGCTCAAGTGGTAGAGGGCTCTCCTTGAACTGAAGAGCGCAGGGACAGTACCCAAGTCCAGAGTTAAAGACCCACAACCAACAAAATAAAACAAAACGAAAAGTAACGTACTCATTACCTTACTTATGTAACTATAATCTCCCGTTCATCACTTTTACAGTAAAGATATATATTTAAAAAAGATTCTTGTATGAAAGATTGTATGTATGAAAGGAGAGATTAGCACTCCTCTTGACAAGGATGGAAGAGGCCCTTGGGCCTGACAACACACATACGGTTAAGGCATTGCCACCTACTTCGTGGCATCTAACCATCATTTAATGTATTTAACTTATACTATGATTTTTTTTTGTTTCGCTTGAATGTTTTTCCCCCACAGTATAACCCTTGTATTTGATGTCGGTGCCCTACATCTTGTATATACATTTTTCTAATTTGGGGAGAGGAAGGGAAATAACAAAATGCTGAAATAAGGATACAGGTTGACCCATTGTAACAATGAGATGTACAAGACACTATGTTGAAAACAAACTTTACACCTTGGGGAGGGGGAGGAGTTGGGGAGATGGGGAGGGAAGGGATGGGAGGGGAAAAACAAAGGAAGAGGTAACAATGCTCGATAGGAAATGTACTCATTACCTTACTCATGTAACTGTAACCCCTCTGTACAGTATTTTTACAATAAGAAACATAAAGATTCCTCATTCTCTTGATCTGTTTTACCTTGCCTGTCTTCTCTTTTATTTATACCCCAGTAACTTAACTTTGTTACGATGTATGTTGTCAGATTCATTGAAGGTGGCATAAATTACTATAATTGTTTGAAACTTAGATGAAGTTTGACTGTATTTTTGATATTTCTTGCTGTAGTTCTATAGCGGAAGTCTTATAGGAATGTGTATAGAATTTGAGGTTGGTGTTGATAACAGATTTCTCCCTAAAGATTTATGAAATCAAAATAAGAGAGTGAATACATAAAAAAAATTGATTAATTGATTAGGGAAGCCCAATGAAGATTCTAAAAACTAGAAAAATCCCCATCCCTATTTCAGATTTTCTTATGGGGAGGTATGTATGAGATCCTTGGGCATAGCTTTCTAGTCCCTTTAGTTCCATTGTTCATTGGGATGTCACCAGCAAAAATGAGATTACTGTTCTGTGACTCCATTTGTGCTGCTGCCAGAATTATGGTCATGGTCTGAGAAGAAGGTCTCTTGTGTGCCATATTACTTCAGATAGAATCATATCTGGTCTTAGATCAATATGGTTGTTTATCTAGCATTTAGTTTGTTTAGTGAAAAGTTCAACTAATAGATTACTCATTTTAAGTATTGATCCCTAACCTCTCACTGTGGACAGTTTTCTAATTGACTATGTAGATTTGGATTTTATGTATATAGCACATTTGAAGTACTCTGTGTGGTACTAATTTACTTAATCTGAATTAGTATGAATATTTTCTCCTTTTTAAAATCTCCTCTTTGTATGTTTCCAGTGCTCCAAATCTGCCTTCTGAATCAACACTTGGTTTCTAATTGTAATTGTCTTGGAAACATTGGCATATTTTTGCAATACCATTTTACTTTTATTTACGGCAAATGATGATTTGTTAGTTGCCTGCTGCCAGAACATCTGAGCTCATTTGTTTAACTAAAACAGTACTGTGCATAGATGCCTATAACAGGCAGCAACAGTTACTAACCACCCCAGTTGCTTACCACCTCATTATGGCTCTAAATCAAGCAAATGGGAAAGCAGATTATTCCTACATGTTTCAAGAAACTAGAGAATGGAGGGATGAGAGGAAAGAAATTCTATTATAACAATTAGTGTGTTGGTTTTGGCAGAAGTGTGCCTGGCTGATTTCTTTTATAGAAATATTTCAGAGTGCAGAAATTACAGGCACATTGCGAAAGAACCCTGCAAGTCCTTTATTGAACAGATAATTACCAAGTGTTTTCCTCCAGTGAAACCAGTCATGGTGGGATATGTGAGTGAACAATGCACTTTTCCTGTTTTCATAGAGAACCGAAGATGCTTTAGCCCAGAAGTGGTGATTGCTCAGGAGGTGGGGGCAATACTGGCCCAGGTACTAAGAGCCAGGCTTGTACATAACTGCAAGTGCTAGCTGGCTCACCACAAGGGGGAGCTTTCAAAGGGAAAGGAGATCATTATGACCAAGAAAGATCAGCTATTTACATTTGGAAATAAGTAAACATCTTTAAAATCCCTCCCCCAGACCCCACTACACTGTGCTCGATATTTAAACCCATCTCGTGCCCTCTAGGATAAATAAGCACTACCACTGAGATTTATATCCAATTATCTTTAAAATATTTTAACAAAAATTTAAACTTGAAGGCTGAATGTAGGAAGTTTCTTGAGGAGCAAGAAGAAATAATTTTGTCATCTTCACAAGAAGTACAAGATAGTGATATTCATTTATACAGTTTTTACTAAATATCTGCTTTATGCTAGCCTGGGAGCACCACGATGAAGAAACAGTTGACACACACACACACACACACACACACCACGATGAAGAAACAGTTGACACACACACACACACACACACACGCTCAGTTTTATGATTGGATACTTACTTGATCTTACATGATCAAAGGTTTTCTAGAAAAAGCCATGTCCAACCACCCTTATCCCTTTTAAGGCTAAATAATATATTACAAATAAATGAGAGCACTATGAGTTGGGTGTCCTGTCTAAGAAATGATTGCCAAATTTAAGCGTAAACCTTTTCCAAAGGGTTTCTTCTAAAGACTTCTGTCCATCTTTGTCTGTCTGTGCCTTTTGTGTCCACATCTGTTTCTGTATGTTTGTCTCCATCTGTGTATGTCTGTGTCCTTTTATATATTTGAAAATTGTTGAAGCTTGTATATGTATTCTCGCCTTCATTTTCTTTTTAACTGATAGAGTATTGCAGGTGTCAATGGTACAATGTATATCTCCTAAAAATGCTGACATTTTTCTAAATAATTATAATTTTATTAGCAGTTCTTCTTTAGAATTGGACAAATGGAGCTCCTACTTTGTGCTCACTACTTTGGAGTGCCTGTCTTGAATTTTTTGGTTTTCTTCCACCTAAACCCATCTCTGAGCACTTTCATAGTGAAGGTTAATTTTCTTAACTACATTGAAAATTGAAGCTTCATTTCTTATTGCTGATTTTGTTTCCCATGTTTTCTTATTTATTTTTCTCTCATTTATATATTCCTTTGATACTTAGTATTTAACAGATGTTTAATATTGTGGTTATACGTTATTTTCTTCTTTGTCTCTGCAGTACTGAGTTGAAGCTGTTAGAAGAGGCAACCATTTCAGTCTGCAAGTCTTTAGGTAAGATGGAAGAGTATGCATGTGTGTACATGTGTGTATGTGCACACATATGTGTATATGTGGAAGGAGCAGTACTTTCAACTATTTGTAATATTTTTCTTTTTTAAATTAGCATACATTAATACTATGAGGGGGTTTCTTTGTAATAATTCCCTAGATGTATCCACTGTACTTTGAACAATTTTATCCCTCCATTGTATTTCCATACCTCTTACCTTTTTTAAAAAAAGTTCTTAAATACTGGAGCAAGGGGTTTAAGAAATACTTAGGGAGAACTTTTCCTTAAACTTTAGCCTTTTGAATAATTTAGTTCCTGAATCAATAGGATCAATATTATAATGTTTCTTTTTTATTTTTTTT